TGTCTCCAAGCTATAAGCCTACACACCAGTTCATGCAAAGATGCTGCAGAGTCCAACATAATATACCAGAAGTATTTTTAAAGGTTTTTCATAAGTGACAGAACCATATCAAATGTCAAATGTGTGCGCGCACACACACACTAATCCATTCCCCACTGGATTTAATCAAATATTATTAACCCTCTGTGCAGTTTCAAATGATTGAGTTTTTCATTGAAGATCATCCTACCAGACAACATTTTCTTTTTCCTTGTAAATATGTCATTTTTTACTAAAATCACTTTACGCTGGGACATAGGACAAGCAATAATCAGTCCAGGGCCAAGGACAAGAATATTAAATCCAATTCAAACTTCTATTCTGAGAGGGGCAAACATAGGAACTTCAAGAAATTATCATTTTGTCCTCTAAGACATTCAGCACTTGCTCCAAGCCAAATTCTGAGGTACTAGTCTATGCATCAAAACACTATTTTTTAAAACTTGCCAATAACATGAATTTCCTATTTGTTTTCTCCCAGAAAAAATTGTTATTGATTAACTTGGGGTACTAAGGAAGCCTTGCTTGATCAAAAATAAATAAAGAATAATAAAATAATAATAAATACTAAAAAATCAATAATCTGAAACAGGGGTGATGCGTAGGGGGTGTATGCAGGTGCACGTGACCCTACTGAGCATGGCAGTACACCCCCTGCAAGAAGGCAGTGTCGACGCTGTCGATGGTGCCTGCAGGCGGTTGCTGCTCGCCACCCTACTGCCAACACTGCCAGTGGCACTTGTGGGCGGTCCACGATCGCCCCTGGCTGCTGCCGCTGCTGCTAGTGGGTGGTAACCGATCCCTAGTTGGTGCTCACCATCCCCACCCCTCAGCAGCACTGTGGAAGCTCTGCGCTCTGTGCTCCTGCTGCCGCCAGCATAGCCATGCTTCACCACCACTGGGGGCACATGCCATTCATGATCTGAAAAACTCAAACATTTCTAAAATGTCTTTTTTTCCCCACAGATATTAAACAGGCACTTGGTTTACTACAGACATGTTTGTTATACAACTCTCAAGTCATGCAAGCAGGGCAATTCCAAAATAATTTGGTGAGGTCAGGCTTCATCACTATTTTTAAGGGATGACAAATACTGCTCCAGTATTCTAGCTGAGTACAGTATCCGAATGCATACTTAGCTACCAAATGTACAAGCAATAGCCAAAATATACAAGCAATTACGCAGTATACACAAGCCTGGTGGATGGTTACATAAATATATTATGGACATATACATGCAGATACAGATTTGCAATTATGTAATTTTGAAAGTGTGGCCTATTATTTGCAGTATCAATATTATAGAGCCTTGTTTCATTATCAGAGACAAAGAAACAATATAAGACACAGCAGAAGCACTTATCATGGTCCATGGTAAAGGAACCATTTAAAAGTGGAATCTTATAATTTTTTTTTTTGCTACTTCAATATGTCATGAGTAAGGAAGTCACACATGATTATGACCATTTGATTTTGGACTCTCACTTAATTTCCAAATAAATATATTTCCAGCAACTACATAGTTCTGAAGACAGAAATACGTTCACAAAAGATGGAGGAACTTCTGCATTATAATGGTTTATATGTCTGCAATCAGTAAATCAGTTTCCACAAGAGGACTGTTATGTCATAGACCCTTCTGGATTGTGTTTGCTTTATGTAGGTAGGTTTTTGTAATTCCTTGATTTTATTTTTTTTATTAGCAATGGAATGTCACCAGTGCAATTATTTTTAACACTTGAAAACTGTCACAATGTGCAATTAGATCACCTAGAAGCCAGTGTAACATCATATAATCCATATTAATGTGTAAATGCATACTGTGCAAACTCAGCATGCCATTTTTATGTTTCAATGTTTTGGCTGTCTCTTAATTTTCCTTTTCAAAATGGTAAATACAATTAGGTCTCCTCTTCGCCTTAAATATTGTTCAAACATGGTTGCAGCAAAATTGAGTTTAGCTTATTTGCAAGAATACTTTTGAATATAGTACTTTTGAATACTTTTAATGGCACATTTAACACAGCTCTGACCAAACTCCATTCATGCAGATTACTCATATTCTTAAGTGGTTCTCTTGCACTTGGTATTGAATCATATTTTGAAATGCAAGTCTGCAAACAGTGAAGTATGATCCCTTAGATTAAGTTCCCCATCACACTTTCTTTTAGAACACAAAACAGTTATTTTAGCAAAATAATCCACCTTCTTTTTACTTAATAAACGTAGATTTTTCTAAAGTTAGCCAAAGACCTTTTAATACCCAATAGAGGGTATTTGCCCAACTTGCAAATTTCCCACCCCCAAGGTTTTCAGATATGCTTATTTTCTCAGTCCCTAGAAATGATTCCATCATTGGGAACACTCTTCTTAATCATACATTAAAATGTTCAAAAAATATGAAATTATATCACTAAGACACACTGACAAAAAGGAAATTTATACTCAATTTAGGTGGAATGGGTTTTCTTAGATCAACGGCAATCTAATTTCAATTCTTTCCATCTTTCAGTATTTTCAAATTAAATTACTGCACTGTCCAATTCAGGGAAAATTTGATTTAGCCTCATCAACATTTTATGAACTCCTTTGTGATTTTGCTTTCTAAACTTCTGGAAATGCAGAACTGAGAAGGAAAGTGAATAAGATAGAAGCTCTCAAGGGCTGTATAATACCTTACCAACATAAAATTAATAACTTGGAATACACATGGATACAGATACAAGTTTAGATCACAGAGGCTGCTTACAGATGTGGGGAAAAAAACAAACCAAAACCAGAGCTTTACCAAAGAGATGCACGTCAGTTTGACCCAACTTGCCCAAAGTCTGTATAGATCACGTGCTTCAGTGGAGCTTTTTGGTTCTTTTATATCAATTAGCCAATTCAATCAGCTATTAGATAAAAGCACCAAAAAGCCCAGCTGAAGCATGTGATCTATACAGGCATTGGGTGAGCTGGGTCAAACTGACATGATACATCTTCTGGGCATGAGCTGTACTTGGTGTTGGGGCACACCAAGCTGAAAGTAAAGCACTGGGTTTTTTTCACATTTGTAAGCAGCCTAAAGAAAAAGAAAAAACCAAGGCAAAACAGCTCTAGAGGTCCCTGTCACAAGCACAACTCTTGAAACAAGAACTTGACACATTAGATCACTGATTCTCAATGAAAGTGTGCCATAGCACCCTGGGGTGCTATGAGATCTTTTTAAGGGTGCTGCAGGGTACCATGCAATTTTAGCACTGTTAGGTGTGCAAACACTTAAACATGATTCACAAGATAAACCCAAAGATTTCAGATATGATTTTATAGCGTCAAAAACATTTCTGAACAGTTGTGGTCTGAGTTCTTTGCTACAGAACAACCACTCTAGTATTTTTCCATAGCCAAAAAATGAGTGACAGCCAAGAGCTGGCATTTCTCGAAGGGTGCTCTGAGTCTAGCAAATGGTACCTTCAGTCTAACAAAGGTTGGGAGACACTGCTTTAGATTAGAAGTCTTGGAAAACACTACCAGTTTTAGAAGCTTCTGAATTCTAAGGAAAGGTGGTCTGAGCTGCTACAGTAAAGCCCAGTTCATTTGAGACTCAGGACAGAAGGATTGTGCATGATATTGAACACCACAGATGACACATCCAACTAAAAGAGGGACTGGCAAGACAATTATTCAAAGGACATGTGACAAAGGGAGGATCTTGGCTGTTGGGACTTAGATTTTTCAAGTTTAGATTCTGAAGGAGAAGCACTGAGAATCTTCCTGGATATGAGTTCAACTGCACTATTAGACGGAGATTTCTTTACTACCAGAAGCCTTCACCACTTACCACAAAAACTCCTTTTGCCTATAAAGCTTGCTGCTAGCTATAAAGAAAAGGCTTTTATATTTTCAAACTTTAAACTTACTTCAAAGCTGTTGAACAAAATCAAAAAGAGAAGTCAACAGCAGAACAACAGGCATGAGACAAGAGACTGAACTTTTGTTATACAGTAACTGTATACATTAACATTATGCTTTCATTGGAAGCATGCAGAGTGAGGTTTAAGGATGCTTTTCACAGTTATAATTAATGCTCTTTTGATGTAACAGATTATTTAACAGGCTTTCAAAAATGTAAGTACATTTCATCACCAAGGCTAAAGGAAGATATTTTTTTCTGCCTATAGATTTAGGGCTGTGCTCTGTGTGGCCCCTCTGCAAAGAGGTGAGCACTGTAATAAATTTTAGAAATAGCTTGCTGCTCAATTCTCAGGTTATGGAGGGGTGCTTTGAGTCTAATGAGGGGTGTGTTGAGTCTGAAACGGTTGAGAACCACACTGCTTTATCTACTCTGGAGCTTCACAAGTAAAAGGGCTAGGTTGGTGTTAGCAACAGGGGACAGTGCAGACAAGGTTCTTGTGGCTGAGGCAGTTTTAACCATGTAAGCGAGGTAAGTAAAGGGGTGATAAAGCCAGGACCTGCCAAAGGAACCTAATCTTATCTACAGATCCCTCCAAGCTGTCTGACAATTTTCTAATTGTTGGCAGTAGATACGACCGTCAAGTCTCTCAAGCTAGACAGCCAGTGAGGAAATGTTGGTCTGTGACCACATGTTGGTCTGATTGGAAAAATCAGTGATGCTTAAAGTCTTTCCTCCACAGGTCCATGATTTTGTTGTGGACATTACACTCCCTCCTGCGATAGGCAGACCACACAACACTCTCTCTCTCCAGTTAAACTCAGGTTGTTCCCGTGTGAGACGTAGCCTCAGGAGCAGAAAGGTTTGCTGCCTGAGTTTGTCAGTGTCTTTCTCCGGGGGAGAGGCGGGGGTGTTATTGTGTCACCGCCCCTGCCACGCGCAGTCCCTCTCCGGGCGGGAGGGGGACAGGAAAAGAAGGGGTGTGAGGGCCACTCCGGGGGCAGCGTGACTGCGCCTCCCCCCGGCCCGCTCCGCTCCCTCAGCGCAGAGCCCGCGCGCACTCACCCCCGCGCCGCAGCGTGCGTACAGCTCTGGGCGCCGCCATCTTGGACAGCTGGGCCTGGGTCACGTGGCGGCGGGC